ATTGCGCTACACATGTTACATATCGCCGCGAACGTCGCAGTGAGAGCAATCATTTTAGGGCCATCAATCACTGATAACACTAAACTGATGAGCGGTAAAAGCTTTTAAAGCGTCGCCTAGGGCCAATTTTGGGTATTATCGTTTTTTGAGGTTTCGCGCGCAGTTTTAAGTCTTGACATGTTTGGTGTCTTTTTACCCGAGGTAATCGTTGGATATGGATGTCACCAGCACTCCAGAAACGACAAAATAACAAAATATTTTAGTGAATCTTCATTTTATTCACTCGAAAGGAATCTGATTCCTTTCGAGTGAATAAAATGAAGATTCACTAAAATATTTTGTTATTTTGTCGTTTCTGGAGTGCTGGTGACATCCATATCCAACGATTATATCTGATGCGGCGCCATCCGTAGTCATTGCGAGCACCCACAAGTGTATAAAATTCATTTCAGTACAGCTGCTACAGGTCCTTGGACATTTTACCCGAGGTGACCCCGTCTTTTTTTATATTTTACCAAAAAATTGGGTAATGTTTTTATCATTTTAATACAGGGGAAAGAGTTTTTTTGTGTGTATAAAATTTCGGTATTTTTTCCTTTTTTTAATGTGGTAAAAAATAACCCCAGTGGTAAATAAATACCACCAAAGGAAAGCTCTATCTGTCCCCAAAAAAGTGTATAAAATTCATTTCAGTACAGCGTTGCATGGCGGAATAAATGTCAGTCAAAGTACCACAGCGCTGACTACTGAAAAATGGCCTGGATGTCAAGTGGTTAACAGGGGGGGGCGAACATATTCTTTCACACAAGGATATGTGGGTTTGGATTTTGTTTTCCCTTAATAATAAAAACCTTCCTTTTAAAAACTTGTGTTTATCTTTGACTAATATTTAAATTTGTTTGATGATCTGAAACATTAAAGTGTGACAAACGTGCAAAACAATGAAAAATCAGGAAGGGGCCAACACTTTTTCACACAACTGTATATTGCTTGGTTGAAATATGTTTTTGTTGGCACAAGAAATCTTTTTTTTATTTTTAGGTTAGGTAACTATGCATATAATTTGAAACATGAGAATGATGTTAATACTGATCCCTTGTTTTATGTTGGTTTATATTGCAGATGCTACATGGAAAGCATGTCATGGTCCGAGTTGGAGGAGGCTGGGACACTCTACAAGGGTTTTTGCTTAAGTATGACCCTTGCAGGGTTCTGCAATTTACTACATTGGAGCAAAAAATTCTTCAGTTCCAAAAGGGAGGGGCAAGTGAGAATGTATCATTACAATCAGGCAGAACACCACAGCCTCCTGTCATGAACCCCATAACTGCAATCAGTGTCTCTCAAAAGTCGACCTCTACACCATCTACACTTTCATCCTCTTCTAATACTAATCTCCGAAGTGAGAAGTCTCCAACTCCGTCTTCTCAAAAGGCAACAAAGAATACGCCATCTGCTTCAGTACGCCCCAAAATCCAAACCATTCCAAGAAAAGGCTCCCCGTTACTTCCAGAGCCACAGAGGAAGGTGGCAAAGAAATCTAATTCTCCTCCACATATCACGTCTATAACTACTAGTTCCAAAGGTACACAAAGAATTTCTCCTCAAAGAAAACTTTTCGCTTCACCCAAGGGAACTGGCCCAGCTTCTAATAATGCTGGGAAGAGTCCTGTGTCATCTCATGTCACTAAAGCATCTCCCAACACTAAACACGTGACTCAACGTGCCAGCCCTGTGCAGCAGTCTGCAAAAGGTTCTCCTAAATCACCTGTGCCTCTTAAGACACTACCGAAGGATGCTACTGGTTCCCAGTCAAAAACAGCACAATTACAATTAACTACAGATGCTGTTAAAGGACCTTCTACATCAGCAACTACTAGGACTGCATTATCTAAAAGGACTGAAGTGGCAAAACTGACCAGCCAGAGTACGACTAATCAGAAATCTGCTTCCTCCAGAGAACTCCAAGTAATTAAAAAGACAAATTTACAGAAAACCAATCTGACAGACAGGAAGCCATTTGTGGTGTCTTCTCGTGTGCCTGCCAAAATGCCTCCTTTTTCCAACCCCTCTCAACCAGTGGCTAAGCCACTAATTACGGCTGCTTCCCAGTCAAAACCCATAAGTAGAAACGCTACCAAGCCAGCCCAGTCCCACAGAAATGGCACAGCTAAGGCTGTAGCTGATAAGACCACCATTTCTGGCCGTACTCCCCTATCTGTAGTTAAGCTTCCACAATCTGATACCAAAGCAGTGACTGCACCGCACACAAAACCGCTGACAAAAAGTCAACTAGCAAGCGGCCCAGTGAAAAAAGGCAAACCGCACGCAGTGTGTGATTCAGCTGGTTCAAAAACAAAACTGACTCGCAAAGCTGCTGCTGATCCTATGAAAGAGAAGCTTCCTAAGAAAGAAGACCGTTATATCTCATCAAAAACAAAGTAATTATCTGAGGTGCTAGTAGATCATGTATGTTCTTATGGTTTTAAAGGTAAAAAAAAAATTATGCCAACCCTTCTGTGTTGACTGGATGTTAAGAAAACAGAAATAATACATGTAAATGTACAAATGCTTTTTTAGCACCTTAAAGTGATCTATCAACTGTTTTTAAAGATGTATAATGTAAAGCTCTGTCCAAGAGCAGATGCTACAAGCTAGAATGCTGCAAAAAGATATTATAACTGGTGGGGAAGATGTGCTTCATTTTTAAATCCATTATAGTTTTGGGCAGAATTATCAACATTTTTGAAAGACCTCAGTCCTAAACCTCTCCCATTAGTTTGATTGTAGTCTGCATAGGTAAACCTACTAATTCTTCTATCAGTTTGGTTGGCTTAAATACCAACCCAGATAAGGTAACTTTAGGTACTTTTACACTTACCTGTGATTTTTTTTTTTTTTCTCATTGGCTAGTCCAGGTGAGATGCTTTCTACAGAAACTGACAGCTGTTTGGTTTGGAGTACAAATTTAATTTGCATAGTCTGGTGTCTATATTGTATAGTCATTTTAACCCCTGCGTGAAAATATTTAACTTGGATCTGTTCTGTAAAAAAAAAAAAAAAGCATAACTAATGCCCATCCCTAGGAACAAGCACCACTAGATTTCTGCACATAACTTTAGATGTGATCAAAGCTACTGAGTGACCTAGGACCCTCAAAAGGTCACTTCATTTGGAAGTCAGGCTTCAACTTAACCTCAGATTGAAGCTGTAAAGCAGCCACCCAACAATGTAATGTATTTGTATCAGCAGCCAACAAAGACGAACTTCAGTGTACCAAAGCTCCAACTTGGAGCTCAGGTTAGTTACCCTGTTGAATGCACACAAGAAGCTTTGGTCACTTGTTAAATTTCGTGCAGATACCTTCTGGCACTTGCTTGTTTTCTTTCTAGGATAGTTTCTTTTTGTGCTAATATGGTGCAATGGAGAGAGGTGTATATGTTGACCCAACAGCCAGTCACAGGACCTCTCACTACTAATGGTCTCACTACTGTGCCTAAATTGGTGAGGGGTGATTTTACTATTGGCATTGTGAATTGCAGAACATTATCGTATTATGTAGCTGGTTGTTAAATTAACCTAAAATTCTGTCTTGTTAAACTGAACTTACACTCAAATGTGAATATAAAGCTATGTTAGCAGGCTTTCAGGTGTAGATACATACAGAACAATGGAGGAGCTGAGAACCTTCCCTTACTGAGAGAAATGCTGCTCCAAGTCCCTCCAGTGCATCAACGTAACTAAAAGCTGAGGCATTTGGGCACATGATCTCTGATAAAGAGGAGGATTGTGTTCTAAAAGGCATTTTTTTTTTCTTCAGCTAGATTATGTGACCAAATTCTAGTATTTTTGCTGTTGGAGCAGCACTGGAGGAGGAGTGCTGGAGCTGCATTTTCTCCTAGGAGAAGGTAAGTATTTTCTCAAGACTGTTAACATAGCTTTATGTTTGCATTTTGAGTATACGTTTTCTGCTTGTTTACATTCATGTACCTGAGTATTTGCCTTTTTTATGATTTTTATAGTGCTTTAGATTTGGTGCAAGCACCTTATGAGATCACTGGAATTGTAACTAGTGTGTATGAGTGCACCAGAAGTTTGTGAGAGGCTATCTAGTGTGAGTGGCTGCTTCTAGTTTTATGTGCTCAGCTGTAGTTTAGGTTTTCCAGACGTGTATAGAAAATATATATATATATAGCGTCAAGTGTTTGGAGAAACAAAATTTTCTTAGTGCCTTGTGAACACACTGATTTTTAGACTATATATGCTGCTTTAATAATATAGCTTCAATTTTATTATTTCTTAACTACCATGGAGTACAATATGTGGAGGGAATACAATTCAACACTCCCAAGATCTTTCATTCAGGGGAATTTTTGCCTTAGTGGAACACTGTAGTGCCTCTGGGTAAAATAATGATTTTACCATTTTGTGTAAGTTCCTTGTAAATGTTAGGAAGCGCATGCATACTGGAAATTGCAGAGTTTTACACTTTCATTGTCAATGCCAATTGTTAAACTCAGTTGTATTGGTATCACTTGACTTCAAATGGAAAAGTCAACATCTGTATGGCGATCACCTTTCTAAAGGTCTGCATTGTACATTTCTGGGTCCCATTTATTGTTGAACTGCTTCTGTATGTAGGATGCAAAGAAGTCTGCAGAGAGTCACTTGCATACTGATGGAGAGAGCTGATGAGCAATGGGAACTTTGAAATCATTCTACTTGGATTTGTGGAATGGAGCACAGAAACCTATCTACACGTCCTACTCTTCATACCCTTCCATGCAAACTAAGTGGGCTTCTCATTTTACTTCAAATATTTCAATAGACCTTTTATGTATGGAAACATATATTTTATTTCTTTATGTACTGGTAGATTTCTGTCCCACATTTTGTCTGGTCATGTTTTAAATACCTTGTCCATTTTTAAATATATATTTTGCTTTGTATATATGTATAATAATTGTAATATAAATGTTTGGGCAATTGCACTTTAATAAACATGGTTTGGTAAAATAATAAATTTTTGTGGTCACTTAATGAAATGCACAAAGCACCTATTTCACTTTTATAGAGACATAACACATTTCCAGTATTTTTTAAACATAGTTTTCAGCTTGCTTATTTATTTATTACTTAAAAACAGTCCCAGGAAGCAAAACTATGTGAATGCATGACTGAATTGCTCTGTACCTGCTAGCAGCCTCTTCACAGGGAGAAGCTGTGGTAGACCCCACTGTTAAAATGATGTCTGCTTAGGAGGGTTCCACTTTCTTTTTTAAATTGCAAAAGAGACACTGTCACCTTGCCCATGCAGGAGAAAGTGACGGTGTCTATACAAACTGCTGTCCACCCAGAATCGGACATACTACAGTTACCAATGATCCTATGCTGCTTCTTCCTTCACAATACCTGACACTTCTGGGTATGGAGGAGCATCTGAGCAACTCCTCTGTAATAGTAGAGGGGTCTAGCAGCCAGTCATTAGGCCCAAGCACTGTCACATGATTAGAGGAGTTATGTCACCACTACCCTTGGTCGCCACCACCAGTTTTTCTAATGTTGGCTAGAGCGTAGGAAGGAGTTGTGATGGATCTCTACTAAGAGTATAGCAGGGTCAGGGACATTTTCAGAGACGTTCACGTTTGCCTTGCAAGATCAGTATAAAGCTTGCCATACACCTATAGATTATCTGCAGATTTTCTATGGTCAGATGGAAAAAGTGCAACAGATTCCTCCATCTACGCTAAACTGTGTGGATGAAGGAATCTCCCGCTTGGCCAAGCTTCAGTATCTTCAAAGTACCTGAACAATCGGATTAGAGGCAATGTCTTTTGAGGGCCAGCGGGGCCAACCTCCAAGATACTGAAGCTTGGCCCAGCGGGAGATTCCTCCATCCACACAGTATAGCGTAGATTGATGAATTTGTTGCACGTTTTCCATCTGACCATAGAAAATCTATAGGTGTATGGCCAGCTTAACAGTATGTAAGGTTGTAAGTCGATGGAGAGACCCTCCGCACTCCCCACAGCAGTCCCGGCCAGATAAGAAAAAAAGTGGTGCTCGCAGTGATGAGATACCACGGATGGCGCCGTGCAAACACAGGAAAGTCAGGAAATCACCAGCACTCACTAGTAAAGATAAATATGTCCCTTTTTATTGGACAGAAAGTGTCAGACATCCAAATCGACTTTTCGGGGCCCAGCAGGGTCCCTTCAAGGCAGAAAGATGTGACGATATAGTAACAATCAAACACCACATATATACCCCATGTAGTTAATTGATAATTGAAAAACACACCCTCAGTGATGTCATAGTGGTATTTAAAAGTAAAATGAGTAAAAAACGAACAAACAAAGTACAATTTTTAAATGAATAAAATAGAAAATCATACCAGCAATGTACCAGTATGTAAAGTTGGACATCAGTCATACATTCTTAGAGGCACAGCCAATGCGTTGCCCAACCTCCACCTGCTGTGCATCCTGGGACTTGTAGGTTCTCGGCAATTGAACAATGCATATAGCTAGTAACCAACATCAAAATTTGGGGCTAAAATAGAGTTGTGACAACTAATGCTAAGTGCTGTTATTATTTATATAGAATTTTAGGAATCGAATGTAGTGAAAGTTTCCATCTTGATTGGGATCAAATGCTTGGCACAATGTGTCAAATTCCACTGGACCGATATTCAATTTCAGTGCCAGGAAGATGGCACAGATCTCTGTGAAAGAGACTTGCCCTGTACCCAAAGGATCCCGACTTCTCAGGATGGACTTAATTTCTTTCCAGTACTTAACGATATCTGTGGCAAGCTGGGTTTGAATGATTTGTACTGGACTAGCCCTTCTGGTTCCTTCAGGAAAAAAAAAAAAAAGGTTTTCAGTAGAACATAATGCAGTCATACATACTGTATATATTTGTGTGTATGTTAATTTATATACAGAGAGATTAATTCTCTCTCCACACACACTCTTGAGAGATTTTTCTCTCGTGTGTGTATGTATATATAGTTGGAGAGAGAGAGGAATTCTCAACTTTGCTCCAATTGTGCTAAATTGCTGTGATAGATGACGGCTAATGCAAAGCAGCAATTTCTCTTTGCCCTGATAGCATTGCCCTGATACAGAACATTATTCTGACACACAAATGCCAGGCCGGTAATATTTCAAGTTCTACAATAGTATTTTTCACAGAGAAGCTTTTCTAACTTTGTGATCTGCTGAGGTCAAACTCCAAACTTCCTTTGTTACTTTACTCCTTCTCTCCTCCCATACAGTTTGAAAGTCCAGATTGCTATAATTTCTAACCAGTTAAAGTAACAATTTGTTTATTACTGATCCTGCTAAAGCTTTTTCCTGCTCTGAATAAGAAAATGAAAACAAATAATACCACGATTCAATTAATATGATACAGATATTTACATTTTTGTAAAATAACTCCAC